CATCAACATTTCCACCTCTTTGTTTGGAAGCTTCACAAGAAAAAGGCAAGGAGCCAAAAATAGACGAGGCAAGTTCAGCAGAAAACCGTCAGAAAATAAACAAATCTGCATGTTGGCTGCTTCCTCTGTCAGGGGAAACCCCTCAGAAACCTCAGCTAGCTGTTCTGTCAGCTCAGCATACCCCATCAGACCATCATACCCTGTCAGATCAGCATACCCCGTCAGATCCCCCATCAGACCAGCATACCCCGTCAGACCAGCATACCCCGTCAGACCAGCATACCCATAGTCAATACGCAACACGTCAGATTTGCCTTTATCCCTTCAGTTTTGTACGAGTCATGTACAAAAAAACCTATTTAAGATCAGATCGCCATACGCTTCAAAACACACCAAAAAGTAATTAGTTTTTTGTACATGACTAAAGGGATACAACCTGTTGAGGTAGTTTAAAGTCTGTGTTTTATACAAAATTTAAGGGATAAACGGGTATTGACTATAGGTATGCTGATCTGACGGGGTATGCTGATCTGACGGGGTATGCTGGTCTGACTATGGGTATGCTGGTCTGACGGGGTATGCTGATCTGACGGGGTATGCTGATCTGACGGGGTATGCTGGTCTGACTATGGGTATGCTGGTCTGACGGGGTATGCTGATCTGACGGGGTATGCTGATCTGACTATGGGTATGCTGGTCTGACGGGGTATGCTGATCTGACGGGGTATGCTGGTCTGACTATGGGTATGCTGGTCTGACGGGGTATGCTGATCTGACGGGGTATGCTGGTCTGACTATGGGTATGCTGGTCTGACGGGGTATGCTGATCTGACGGGGTATGCTGGTCTGACTATGGGTATGCTGGTCTGACGGGGTATGCTGATCTGACGGGGTATGCTGATCTGACTATGGGTATGCTGGTCTGACGGGGTATGCTGATCTGACGGGGTATGCTGGTCTGACTATGGGTATGCTGGTCTGACGGGGTATGCTGATCTGACGGGGTATGCTGGTCTGACTATGGGTATGCTGGTCTGACGGGGTATGCTGATCTGACGGGGTATGCTGGTCTGACTATGGGTATGCTGGTCTGACGGGGGTATGCTGATCTGACGGGGTATGCTGGTCTGTCGGGGTATGCTGGTCTGACGGGGTATGCTGATCTGACGGGGTATGCTGGTCTGACTATGGGTATGCTGGTCTGACGGGGTATGCTGATCTGACGGGGTATGCTGGTCTGTCGGGGTATGCTGGTCTGACGGGGTATGCTGATCTGACGGGGTATGCTGATCTGACGGGGTATGCTGGTCTGTCGGGGTATGCTGATCTGACGGGGTATGCTGGTCTGTCGGGGTATGCTGGTCTGACGGGCTATGCTGATCTGACGGGGTATGCTGATCTGACGGGGTATGCTGGTCTGTCGGGGTATGCTGGTCTGACGGGGTATGCTGGTCTGACGGGGTATGCTGGTCTGACGGGGTATGCTGGTCTGTCGAGGTATGCTGATCTGACGGGGTATGCTGGTCTGTCGGGGTATGCTGGTCTGACGGGGTATGCTGATCTGACGGGGTATGCTGGTCTGTCGGGGTATGCTGGTCTGACGGGGTATGCTGATCTGACGGGGTATGCTGGTCTGACGGGGTATGCTGGTCTGTCGGGGTATGCTGGTCTGACGGGGTATGCTGGTCTGTCGGGGTATGCTGGTCTGACGGGGTATGCTGATCTGACGGGGTATGCTGATCTGACGGGGTATGCTGGTCTGTCGGGGTATGCTGATCTGACGGGGTATGCTGGTCTGTCGGGGTATGCTGGTCTGACGGGGTATGCTGGTCTGTCGGGGTATGCTGATCTGACGGGGTATGCTGGTCTGTCGGGGTATGCTGTCTGACGGGGTATGCTGGTCTGACGGGGTATGCTGACTGACGGGTATGCTGTTGACGGGGTATGCTGATCTGACGGGGTATGCTGGTCTGTCGGGGTATGCTGGTCTGACGGGGTATGCTGATCTGACGGGGGTATGCTGGTCTGACGGGGTATGCTGGTCTGTCGGGTATGCTGATCTGACGGGGTATGCTGGTCTGTCGGGGTATGCTGGTCTGACGGGGTATGCTGATCTGACGGGGTATGCTGATCTGACGGGGTATGCTGGTCTGTCGGGGTATGCTGATCTGACGGGGTATGCTGGTCTGACGGGGTATGCTGGACTGACGGGGTATGCTGGTCTGACGGGGTATGCTGATCTGACGGGGTATGCTGGTCTGACGGGGTATGCTGGACTGACGGGGTATGCTGGTCTGACGGGGTATGCTGATCTGACGGGGGATCTGACGGGGTATGCTGGTCTGACGGGGTATGCTGGTCTGATGGGGTATGCTGGTCTGACGGGGTAAGCTGGTCTGACGGGGTATGCTGGTCTGACGGGGTATGCTGATCTGACGGGGTATGCTGGTCTGATGGGGTATGCTGGTCTGATGGGGTATGCTGGTCTGACGGGGTATGCTGATCTGACGGGGTATGCTGGTCTGACGGGGTATGCTGGTCTGACGGGGCATGCTGGTCTGACGGGGTATGCTGGTCTGACGGGGTATGCTGGTCTGACGGGGTATGCTGGTCTGACGGGGGATCTGACGGGGTATGCTGGACTGATGGGGTATGCTGGTCTGACGGGGTATGCTGGTCTGACGGGGTATGCTGGTCTGACGGGGTATGCTGGTCTGAGAGAACGCCATACCAACAGCTGTCAGTAGCTTTCATCCAGAGCAGATTCCGTTTCTTTCTCTTCTTATCAGGCGCCTCTAATCAAACTTGTCCAGACTTCCTGCAGCTGAATCCAGGCGTGATTAGAGGAGCTTTCTGTCGAGGCTTTGAGGCGCAGTTTGCCTTGTTTTTGATGCTGGGGGGGGTCAGTGTCTGCTGGGACCAAGGCCGCAGAGATACGAGCTGGCGTCACAGAACACGCACACACATGAACTCGCCGTGGCCAGCCTGTCCTTCACCATTTAGACCCACCCCCCCCCCCCCACCAAGTTAAACTAATATAGAAATGTGAAGGGGAGGGAAAAAATGAAGATATAAGGCCTCCTCCTCCTCCTCTCATGTTTGGGTCTGAATCCGTCTCCCTGCCGTCTGTTTGTTCACTAACCTAAAAACCAGCGGCTCTAAAATCCCTCTGTGACACGCCGCTCGCCTCAGCATGAGCAGATCTGCTCTGAAGCAGAACTGTGGTTGGAAAGCAGCGACCTCCTCGTGAAAAAGGAGAGCAAGCAAAGTTTCCGTTGTGGAAAGGAGACCGAATTCCTGCGTCTGGGCTGCGGTCTGACCCCATCGGAGACATCAGCTGCAGGAAAAAACAGCCTGTGGCTGATTGTGTCGGATGTGGTTCATCGATCCGTGCGGCCGGCGGCGTTACGGGCCGCTCGCTAACACGTTAGCCAACGGTTTCATGATAAATCAAATGAGCTGAAGCAGCTCTCCAGCCTGGAAGGATTTGCATGAACATAGCTCCTCATTTCCATACTTAGACCTCATCTATTGGAGGGGGGGGGGGGCATTTAGAAGGTTGATGATAAGTGTTGCTCTGCTTCTCTTCATGCATACAGAACCTAGTTAGGAGAACAAAGTGTCTGACTAATGAGTGGATTATTGGATTAAAGCTCGTCTGCAGGCCACTTTAAACTGATTCATGTCCTCAGGATCAGATTAACATTAAGAAAAAAGAAAGCGACACCTGTGAACTTTGAGTCAGACCTTTAACCTCTGGATACTTTCATTGGCTGTGGTGTTCCCACAGCATGCGGTCAGAGCCGGAGTGATTTTAACGTTTCTTCCCAGCTTTAAAGGAAAAGTCCAGTGAGCCAGGAATAATCAATGGATCATTATTTATATCTAAAACTATGTTTGTGGGGATTTAATGAATTTAATGTTAATCAGTAAAATAATGTAAATAATTTTCAAGATGACTTGGATAATAGCGCGTTGTGACAAACACCAGATACAGCACTGGGACTTGATCAACAGCCGATACCGCACCGTGACAATGTCACTAACCAGTAGGTGGCAGTAGTGTTCTTTGACAAACATGGATGCCTCCAGTAAAGCACATTCACATGAAAATTACTCTGAATTAAAAACACTGATCATTTATTGAACAGGATGGAATCATTTCAGATTTAAAGAACTTTCAGAAGTTTGGATTCTTAAAATCTGAGCTTCTCCAGGTTTTCCATCCAGTGGGAAATGGTTTATAAACTGGGGAAGTAGAAACTGTAATGTTAGGATTTGTTGGTATAATGTCTGATGGAAGTGATGGTGTTAGAATCAGCTGTAGACATTAGCTTACAGCCAGTGACCCCCCCACCATGACGGAGGGCAGTGGTGGTACTCAGACTCTCTATCTATGTGCAGCTTTCAGGAAGAGCAGCTGAATTCTCCTGTCCTGCTAAATATGGCCGCCTACAGTCGTCTCTGCTCTCATGTTCAGATGTTCTCCTCTAAACAAGGCGGCTGTGAAGCTCTGATATATGAGGGTAGATGAGTTACAGGTGGAGGACGGGGGGGTGATGTAACCCAAGAGGTGATGTTGTAAATAATAAGGGGGGAGGGGGGGTCTTTCAGGGTTTTTTTTTTCTTCCAAACTTTAAACTTTTCTGCTGTTTCTGGGATCATAATCAGTTTATTCATGGTTTCTAAGACGATCTGTGGCTCCTGCTCTGAGAACAAAGTGGGGGGGGGGGGGGGGGGGGGGGGGGGGGGTCTTTGCCGTGCTGCTTGATGCAAGTCGCTGTAAAAAATTGCATCTGTCTGGTCCGTTTGTCCCCCCCCCTCCCCCCTTTCTCCCTTTCAGTGAAATTTTCATTTGAATGAGGCTCTGGGTGGGGGGAGGGGTCCCATTGGTTAGACTGCCTCTGCAGATGGACCAATGTTATCCAGATCCCGCCTCCTGGCCTGCAGCGTGATTGGCCGGCTAGGAGGAGCCAGCTGTACTCTTAAACCCCCCCCCCTCTGTGCTTGTCTTCAGTAGAGCTCAGCCGCTCGCTTTCAGCGCTGATCTGAGGCGTCTGGATGCCGCCGTCTGAACTGTTTGGGTTACTGAGCGGTGAACGGAGCGGGACGACTGCTCTGGTTCTGACCCGGACTTCTGCTTTCTGACCCTCCAGGATTAAGAGGCCCGGCTTTAAGCGTTGGATCACAGCGGGACGGAGAACACGGGGCCGGTACCACCAGCAGCTGATCTGAGACCCGCTTCACTGTCAGCTGCTTCGGACCTTCAGCCCAAACAGGTCACAGCCGAGCGGACGGAGGGTTCTGATGTTTGACCTGAACCGCCCCGGTCCAACAAGTCAGTTTCCCTGAGAGAAGAGAAGAAGAAGAGAGGAGGAAGAGGAGCAGAGCAGCTACTGGTGAGGAAGTTCACTCTGATATGGGGGGGCGGGGTGGGGGGGTTCTGTATTCCTCCCTCTGGGACTGACAGCTGGTTCTGGTTCTGGTTCTGGTTCAGGTCCTGCAGAATGCCGGTGGAGACGCTGAGGCCCTCGGACGGCCGCCTGGCCGGCGTCGCCTTCACCTCCGTCAGACCCTTCAGGATCCTCACTAAGGGGCCAAACTACTTCCGCCCCCCGCCTGAGCCGGGGGCCCGTAAGCTGAGCGCCGTGGAGCGGCTGGAGGCCGATAAGGCCAAGTACGTGAAGAGCCAGCAGGTGGCGCTCACCCGCCAGGCGCCCATCCAGGCGCCGCTCATCCGTAAACCCCTGGTTCCCACGGCGATGATGCCCCAGAGCCACGTTGGTCCCCCGGCGACCCGGAAGGTTCTGCCCCGGTGCCCGGGCCACCTGGAGAAAAGTGGCGGGCTGGAGGGGCCGGGGGCGCGGAGGCCTTTTAACCTGGACATTCTGAACAACCTGATCAGTGACGTCTGTGATGAAGGTCAGTCATCCTCCTCATCCTCGCCCTCATCGGGGGGGAAGAGTCTCTGCAGCAGCCTGTCAGCAGAGAAACTCCGCCACGCCACCTCCTCCTCCCCCTCCTCCTGCACCTCCTCTCTGCTCAGCGCCCCCGCCCCTGCAGCAGGACTCTGCCGCCGGCCCCCCCCTGTCCCGGCGCGGGGACCGGCGCTCCCGACCGGGGCCCCCAACTCGGTGACGGTCCGCAGGGTGGACGTCCGGCCGCAGGCCGAGGTGAAGAAGCCGCTCAGGGTCGCCCTTCAGCCCCGCCTCCGGCCCAGACAAACCCCCCAGGGGCAGGTCCCGCCCCCCCCACCGCCTCCTCAGTCACACAACCAGTTCCCCTCCAAGGTTAGCACCTCCTCCCAAACCCTGCCCCCCAGCCCCATGCTGTTCCGGGCGGGCTTCATCCCTCCCGCCTCCCCCGCCTTCACACGCATCTCCAACGCCAGCTCCAAGGGCTCCGCCCGCAAACACCCGTCCCTCCACCGCTCCAAGTCCGACCTCAGCGACCGCTACTCCCGCGCCACCGCCGACCTGGAGCGCTTCTTCAACTACTGCGGGCTGGACCCCGAGGAGGTGGAGGGGCTGGGCGGCGTGGAGCGCTTCACCAGGGCCAACTCCGACATCGTGTCCGTCTCCAAGCTCCGGAGCGTCAGCACGCCCAGCTCCGAGTGCGGGGACGACGAGCGTGCAAGGGAGTACGGAGGGGATGAGGATGAGGAGGAGGACGGCCCCCTCAGGATGAACGAGCGAGTCCCCTACGGGATTTCCGTCATCGAGAGGAACGCACGGGTCATCAAATGGCTGTACGGCATCCGGCAGGCGAGGGAGGCCCAGGGCGGCGTCTCCAACGTATAGCGCCATGATGCTGGCGTTCGTTCTGCTGCCTCACTGAGACCCTCTGTCTTCTGGTCGCCATGGCGACTGACTTTTATGGACGTCAATCATCAGAGGTCTTAGTCTCTGTTCTAAAAGTGCATCTCTAGTGACCCTCTAGGTATTCTACAGCAATAAGACGCAGTTTTTACTGCCGGTGATGATGAAGGCGGAGGAAGGCTCCATGCTAACGGTACTGAAGGCGCGCATGGGTGCGAGTTTGGGCCTCAGAAGCGCCGCACGGCGACCATGTGGGCGGAGCCGTTCATACTGTGAAACTGCAAATAAAGCTTCCACAAACGTTTTCTAGATGTTTCTGTTAGCATGCTAGCGTGTCTTAAACAGAACAAACTGGTCCAGTTCATTCAGCGGGATTCTGTTCCATGGAAACTGGTTCCTCTGACGCTGCCAGGAAATCGGTTCACCGCCTCCGGAAGAAGGAGGTCACATGATGATGATGGTCACATGAAGCGTAGATGGCTGACGGAGCGAATGGAGGAGAGCGACTCAGGAAACAAACGGACCAATATTTATATGGAGAAGTATTTTTTACTAAAGGACGAGCGCACTGAGGTCAGGAGGCGTTTTCTACCTTCCTCTTCCTCACACAGGAAGCTGCAGCGTTCAACGCAATCAGATCCCAGAGCTGCAGACGGCTGCAGGCTCTGCTTTTCTAATCCGGTGCTGGATGCCCAAAGATGAGAGGAGAAATGCTTTACTGAGGCGTCATTAATAAAGATGTTTGCATAAGAACCGCCTCCTCCTCTTCCTTTCTGCTCTGTGTCACTGTTCAGGAGGGGGGGGCCAACGGCCCACGTCTTCCAGAAGGTCCTTCACCGTTCTGATGCTGCCGCACTTTACAGCTGCACCTGTGGAGATCTGGGCTTTGACTAGGCCATTCTATCTGATCACCCATACGATACAGACACCAATGGGATGTTAATATGAATTTATTATTTATTTTATGCTGTCTAATGTTAGAAAAGGCTAAATATAAAGTAAAATTATTAAAACAGAAGATATGAAAACATCTGATTGATGTAAAATTAACCAACGAGTCACAGAAACTTTTAACAGAAGGAGTTGTGTTAGCATGAAAATACCAGAGAGTTTAGATGCCGGACGATAAAATCCAATATTATTATTTTTTGGGTAATATCAGACCAATATCCGATATTAATGTTGCATCAGGAGAGACCCAGAAAAAAACAGCAAACTAAGAAAAGCTGCGACTAGATCTACATAACAGGAGCTCCAGAGCCATAGATCAGCTCCTCTGAGTCCGACGCCATGGATCCCCACCAGGAAAGAGGCTTTTCCTCCTCCGCTTCCAGCTAGGACTGAAACTAACAATTATTTAGCAAATTAATTAATCTGTCATTATTTATCTGATTAATAATCAGAAAGCCAAAGGCTCCTTAAACAAGATTTTTTTACGATACTAAAGCAGGCGAAACGTTTCCTCTTGTGGAGTTCTGGATAGAGCAGATTGAAAGATGAAAAATATTTTTTTTTTTATCTTCAGTGCAAAATGTTTATATATATATATATTTTTTATAATTTGGATATAATTCCTGCTCTAAGTGCGTAGCTCTATAAACTAAAGGCATCTTTTAAAAGTCTCTACACTTGGAAACAAACCGACCAGTAAGTATTTGGAGAAGTTCCAAAAAAAGAAAGTTAAAATCAATCCTCTGGACTTTGTTTCCAAGTTTGAAGACGTTTCTCTTCCATCCAGGAAGTTTTTTCAATCCAAAATGTCAGAAATAGCGTTTAGTTCCAGGTTTTATCCAGCAGCCCAACAAAGCCTGGTTTTAGTTTAGAAAACATGCAAATAGAAACTGAAACTGTTGTTGGGCTGCTGTTTAAAACCTCCAACCTAAAGCTAATTTAGACCAAACTTTGCCAGTAGAGTCAGAGAAACTTTCAATCTTCTTCATCCTAATTGGTTCTCTGCTGTGCAGTGAGGGAAATGAGGCCGATGCAGATCATATATAGACCCGGGTCACTTCCAGCTCCAACAGTGCTCTGCCCAGTGTAGCAAACATCTTATCATGAGTAAAAACTGTATTTACTCTTAATTTGAGTGGGTAAATAAGATGATCGGCCAATGGAATGATTATATTAGCCTTAAAATAAGATAATCAGATCTTATGCACTTGAAATAAGAGACTTCTTATTCTAGATGTAAAGTTTCTCACTTACTGGTTCAATTGAAGAAAAAAAAAGCACTTAATTGACTGCAACACATTGACTTCAATGTGTTGCAGTGCATGAATGTGTGATCTAAAAAGTTCAGGACCCTCCAGTCTGCAGGAGGAAGGCGTGCAGCGTGATGCTCTCCTGTTCCCAGCAGCACAGAGCCGCCATATGTCAATATTTAGGGAGGGATCAGCTGGGCTCTGGCACGCTGCCTCACAGCCGCCATGAGCCGCCGCTGACTGTCATGTCTGCTTTCTAAGTAGAGAGGCCTTCACTGCTCTGCTGCGTTTGGAGACGATAAGTCCAGCTGCTGGGTGGGGGGGGGGGTATCACTTGGTTCCAGTGGGATGTCCACAGCATAAGTATGTCAGGGCCTGGATGGCCACGGAGCAGAGGGTGATAAGCTGATTAAAGCGTCAGGGCAGATGGGATCGCTCTGACTGTGTGTTTGTGTGTGTGTGTGTGGGGGGGGGGGTGTCCCATGGGAAAACCAAACTGGGTTGTCTGTGTTAGCTTAGCGTGTTTTTGCAGAGGCACTGCTTTACTTCCGTTAGCTCTTCAAGTGCATCAGCCTTTCTTCTTCTCTCCATCATTCATCCAGAATCGTCGTCGTTTCAGGATGAATCTTATTCGTTGCACATTAGAAGAGTTTAACTGAGCTCAGCGTCTCTCTACAGCTGTAGCTCACTGGATGCAAACCAGTTCAATCACAATCCCAGTCTGATTTTATTAGTAAATTCAGGCTGAGAAACCAGTCTGGGGTTGAATTACTGTTTAAACTAATCTCCTCCCTCCAAACCCTAAATGATCTCAAACAAACTGCAGGTTATTCTCCATCCACCCCAGACCATCACACTACCACCACCATGTTTCAGTATCAGTGGAGGTTTGCATTCCTCTCCCTGAAGATCAGTTTGTAGGAACCGATATCCCATCTCCCCCCCCCCCCCCCCCCTGGATGACGGTTGGTCAGAATGAACGAGTTTGTCCTTTAGGTCAATGATGCTGATCAGGTTTATTTTGATGTGAGGGACAGAAGTCTGGGCTTAATCTCAGTGCTGGATAACAATCCAGTCCTGGCAGAAGGAGATGAATGCTAACAGTGTTAGCATCACAGGACTTTGTTAAATTATTTACACTGAAGAAATGTTTTATAAAGAAAAAAGTCTTCAAACACAGAAAATGAAAAAAATTGATTGAAATCAATTCTTCCCACTGGAAAAATCTCAATCAATATTTTATTCTTAAAATTAGTGGCACTTTGCCAATGGAACAAGACAATTTACATTTGAAATAAGAAAAAAACAATTGCATTGTCTTATTTCTAGTGAATATTATCTTAATTATCTTAAGAGTAGAAATACTCATCAGTTTGCAAATCATCTGATGTACCTGCTCAAATTAAAGGTAAATACACATAATTTAGGAAATCTTGACTTTTTCTCCTAGATGGTTTTTGCAGTGCAGAGAATGATCTATATTCAGCAGGAACCAAACGCAGAGATGATGAAGACAGGAAAGATCGGCAGGAAGAATAAAGATGGTTCAGGTGCTGACATCATAACCAAGATAGGAGTTCAACCTGAACATCTAACATCTGATCACATCTCCACCAAACCACAGATAAAAAAAACAGGTTCATGTCTGATGTCATGTGTAATTAAAAGTATTTTACAAACATCAACATAAAGATTTTTGATCAAAAGGAGAGGAAACTGCATATTAAAGGAAAAGTCGCTCATATTCAGAATCCAAACTTCTGAAAGTTCTTTAAATCTGAAATGATTCCATCCTGTTCAATAAATGATCAGTGTTTTTAATTCAGAGTAATTTCCATGTGAATGTGCTTTACTGGAGGCATCCATGTTTGTCAAAGAACACTACTGCCACCTACTGGTTAGTGACATTGTCACGGTGCGGTATCGGCTGTTGATCAAGTCCCAGTGCTGTATCTGGTGTTTGTCACAACGCGCTATTATCCAAGTCATCTTGAAAACATTCTTCTTCCAAATGTTGGCTACATATTACGGGTTTTTTCTCTGGCCAGAAGTTCGATGGCAAATCCTCCCTCTTCAAGTTGGCGATCCAACGACCAACCCGTCCGTGGAGGATCAGGAATCAGAAAGGTGGAATAACTCTTTTTTTCACTTTTACCCGATGTATTCCAGCATCCAGCTGCCATGCACGTGGGCATTGTCAGTTTCACTATAGCTCTGGTGAATTTCAATGGTGAAGTCCTCTGGAAATCTTCAATAATTGTTGTTGATTGCAGATGTGTCTAGTAGTTCCCATTGATTTAGCTTGGAAAGCGGGGAGAATGGCGCTAGGCTTACCGCACCGTGACGTCACTGCTGGAAGATGGCAGGAGGGAGGGGCTACTATATTTGGGCAAAAATGGCCGCTCCCAGACTCAGTGATCGGAATGAAAATTATTCTTTAACTGAATAACGCTAAATTCATTGAACTACCTTAAACATATTAGTTTTAGGTATAAATAATGATCCATTGATTATTCCTGCTAACTAGACTTTTCCTTTAACATTCTGGCGTCATTGTTTGGATTTAGGTCTGGACTTTGACTAGGCCATTCTAACACCTCAGTCCAGTCAAAATAACTAAAATCAAAAAACACTTTTTAATAGACATCAAGGAGGGAAGAAAAAAGTTTCTCATTCAAACAGAAGTTTCAAGCTGACTGGAAAAAAGGTTCTTCAGTCACTGGAAAGATGAAGATGCTAACCTGATCCCTGAAATTCAGAATCTTTGGAGGAAACGTTCAGTTCATCTGATGTCATCCTGAATCCGGGGGCGGATTTACCAACAGGCAATACTAGGCAGCTGCCTAGGGCCCAGAGTTCCTGGGGGCCCCATAAAACCATGCAAAGAGCAGTGTTACCAACTTAGCGCTTTAGTCGCTATATATACAATCTGGTGCTACAGATTTTATGCTAAACCAAGAAGCTAATTTATCCTGCTAACACTTAGACATGTAATAGTGAGCAGTGATGTGAATGAAGTAGGTTTTTAAAGGTTCTCCTCATCAGGACTACTTTCTGTTGTCATTATCCTGAGATTCATGGACTGTTTTTCTCATTCAGACGCTGGTTCTGGCCACATCTTTGATTTGTTTCCTTCCCCTGTGGCGTTTCAATGATTCATGCTAGTCACAGCGTGTCCTGCCAGAAGCCGGCTGACCTGAAGGCCTCAGACTCAGCCAAGCCCTTTGTAAACAGATCTGTTGGACTTTGACATGACAACAGACCCCCCTGAACAGACCAAGCAGAGAGTCCCCCAGGCTGCTTCTGGA